TAAGTTCAAAACAGGTACTTTTATCAACAATCTTGTTGGAGGTAATTGATACAAAAGGAAATCGTCAAGATTGCAGACCCAGGGAGCCAGTCTAACCTCATTAATTCAGATTTCTGTCAGAGACTTGGATTACCACTTAATCCCATTAATATTACAATTTCAGGGGCTTTCAAGGTAGAATCCAGAATCCACTCCATTTGTAAAATTCAAATTTGTTGAAAAAATACTCCATTTATAGCTCTGCTTGATTATTTAGTTGTTACGGAAATATGTGATGTTGTTTCTGAATCTCCTGCATGTATAGGTCAAATCCGTCTCAATCCTTCAGGTCCCTTTCTTCATAAGACCATGTTTGGATGGATAGTGGGTGGACCACTTATAAAAGGTGTTTTTTCGAATAGCTCAAACTCTTCTAAAATTCATTTACAAAATTTTACTAGGTATACAAAGTCAGCTTTCTCGCTTCTGGGAAATAGAGGATTGTATAGATTTAATTCATTTTCCAGATGAGAAAAGTTGTGAAGCAAGTTTTATTTCAACTCATTATACAGACCAGTTAGGCCGTTTCGTAGTTTCAATTCCTTTCAAAGAACCTGTTCCTAAGTTAGGTGATTCGAGGTCAGTAGCACTTCAGCGGTTTTACAATCTTGAACGAAAACTTCAGCGAAACTCCGAAATACGAGAATTATACACATTTCTTTTGCCACATCATGGGATAGTAAAGGCTGATTCACTCACTACCAAGCTTCGAGTTGTGTTCGATGGGTCTTGTTCTTCATCCTCAGGTTGGTCCTTAAACGACATACAAATCGACCATCCAACAAGAGCTATTTTTTATCTTATTCCGTTTCAGATTACATAAATATGTCGTTTCAGCTGACGTATGTAAGATATATCGAAAAGTTTTAATTAAACCTTCACAGAGAAATCTTCCATAGATTCTTTGGAGAAAAAAATCTTCAGATCCTCTCACAGAGTTTCAATTAAATACTGTCGCATTATGGCACTTCTTCAGCTTCCTACTTGGCTATCAGATCTTTGTTTTAACTAGCTTTAGAGAATATCAATACTTATCCAGCCGCCTCTAAGGTCATCCAAACTGACTTTTATGTTGATGATTCACTTACAGAATCTGATTCATTAAAACAGATTTAACTAATATTTGCAAAGAAATATCATCAATTCTTAAAAGTGGTTGTTTCGAACTTCGTAAGTGGATCTCTAATGAACCTCAAGTTCCATCCACCACTGCCAGATTCCGTTGGCGAGTCGCACCAGTCTAACATTTTAGGTACCCTCCCACCCTATTGATCTAGGCAATTAAGATAATTGAAAGAGGTAGATAAATTATGTTTCCACAAATTAAGGTCTTCCCTTATATTGTGCAGGATTCACACCAAACTGGCACCTTTTAGTTACTCAAAGCTTGAAGCTTAGATTTTGAAGATTTGTACTGTGAGGTTGGTTCATTTTCTAAATGTTAAAGGTTTAATAACGCTTAAATTAAAAATCTAAAAAGTCCAAAAAAATTGAAGAGTACAACAACCTTAATTAAATCATGAAGTTAGGTTTGCTAATTGACAAAAACTTCGAGTTTGCAGTTTTTTAAATACTAAAGGTTGAGGTTTGTGATAGGTATTTAGATTCGAACTACAAGATCTAACGCCCAATTTAAACGTTCAGGTAGTCTACCAAGTTTCAACGTTGAAAATTTGAAAATCGTAACACTAAATGCGGATTCTGGGAATAGATATATATCTACTTCAACCATACTAGTTATTATATATACGGATATGGTTTCTAGCTGATATTAATTAAATTAAACACAGAAATACGATAGTTTATAGCTGCCTTTAAATCTTATTAATTTATTCGTTTGAGACCTTTTCAGTTTTATTTGTTTTCCGCTCGGTTTCCTATTAATATTTTATCGTTGTGATTTAAATTGACTAATGTAGCGTTGGAATTTGAATTTGTCGATTTAATTAGGTACTGTGTTCTTTTTATTAAGTTTGTTAATGACTCTTCATCACTATATTGTTTAATTTTGTCAGTATAATATTTGGTCTCTAAAGTTTCAATAAGAATTTAACAGAAAGAATTACAAATCTTTTTCTGAAACTACTTTAGAAGCAACTATACCTTCGTCACTAAAAAGTGTGAAGAAAATGTCATTTTCCTCTCTAGTGAGGAAAGTAAAAAAGAATTGCTGCGTTAATCTTAATAATGACATCTAAAATTGAAAGATACCCGTATCTTGATGGGTATGTGGCATACTTCATTATTGCATTCGAGAATTTGGGTGTTGAAAAATTAGCATGTAAAATCCTATCGCTGGTCTTGAAAAAAACTCAAAACATTGACTTAGTTTTATATAAGCTATCTAAATCACTACTTATTTTAAAACATTTAAAACAATCACTTTGTATAACCATTCACATTTACAAGGTGTTTTTATTGCAAAAAAATTCGTATCACCGTAAACGCTGACTATCGTACACATTGCCGACCTATTTTTAAAAAATTAAATATTATGGCGTTTCCATTTACTTTTAGATATATATTACACATTAGAAATTCATAAAAACAAAAATAATTTTGGGACAATAAATGACTGTTCTCACAACTGCTTGGAATCCATGTAATATGCTATTTTAGCTTTAATTTATTTAAAATATGGCGCCCATAAGGAATAAGAAACCCACAAGTCATATAAATCGTCAAAAAGCTCATTCAAAATCATTGAGTCTAATATGACTATTTGCGAAGGTATGTGTGCACTGCCTTTTAGTGAAACGGAATTATTAAATTGTTTAAAAAAAAGCATAAAAAATAAACATTCCTCGGGCCCCGATGATATACCTAATTCTTTGCTAAGGTCAAGTTTGCATATTATAATAAAACCTGTCACACATTTAGTCAATATGTCTTTTTCAAACGGTGTCTTCCCGAAAGAACTTAAGCTGTCAACCGTGCATCCCGTTCACAAAAAAGTTGCTCACGAGATTGCTCGAATTACAGACCAATTTCTGTTAGCTCGGCGCTGTCAAAAGTTTTTGAATACGCCATGTTAGAGAGGCTAAATAGTCACCTTGTTAAATATAACATTGTAAGTAATAAACAACACGGGTTCTGCAATGGGAAATCGACAATTACTGCCATTAACTCCTTTGTTAACGACATCATTTCACTTCTTGATAAAAAACAGAATGTCCTTGCTATATTTTGTGACCTCAGCAGGGCTTTTGATACTGTTGATCACTTGTTACTGTTGGAAAAATTAAATACTTACGGTATCAGAGGCGTTGTTGCCAATTGGTTTTCATCATATCTCTCTGGAAGGTGTCAACAAGTAGAAATTAAATTTAAAACCGGTTCCACTATTGCAAAATTTTTATCCACAGCTTTGCCTGTTAATATGGGGGTTCACAAGGATCTGTTTTAGGACCTATTTTATTTTTATTATTTATTAATGATATTGTCATGTTCTTAAATTGCTTGGTTTTATATGCGGATGATACGACGGCATTAATATCCGGAAAGAAGCAAGAAAATATATATCCAAAAGCTGTTGAGATTCTAAATAAGCTAAGTAATTGGTTTAATTTTAACAAATTATTCTTAAATCACGATAAAACATTTTTCCTACCGTTTACAACTTTTGGAAATAACCATTTGTCTGACTCAAGCAACAAAAACATTAATATTCTAGGCACTGGGAAGTTTCTGGGGATCTATTTAGATCAAAACTTAAATTGGAAATGTCACTGCGAAAATCTTATTAAAGGACTAAACACTTATTGCTACCAGATACGGAATCTTAAAGAATTAATGGATGTGAACCATACTTTAAATTATTACTATTTACTATGCTCAAATTCAATCCAGATTGTCGTATGGAATAATTGTTTGGGGCTCGTCAAGCGCGGCAAAAAATGTTTTTTGGTACAAAAACGAATAGTCAGATGTATTGCGGGTACTAAGAAATATGATTCGTGTCGCCCGATATTTAAAAAATTGAATATTCTTACACTTTCATCACTCTATATACCTACTTGAATTGTTAACTTTTATTTTCCATAATCAGCAACATTTCTTACGCCATAGCAGTTTTCATAATTACAACACGCGCAATAAACAACAATTTATCACCCCTTTAACAAGACTTAAACTTGCCCATAATTCTCCCACGTCAATGGGCATTAAATTATTTAATGCTCTTCCAAGTACACTTAGAAGTCAGGGTAGAATAAAGTGCTTTAAAACTTCTTTAAAAAAATTTCTTCAAGTCAATGCACCATATACAATTGATGAATTTCTAAATTGCATTGATAAAAATTGCGGATCTCTAGTGTAATTTATATTGCATTCTTTCTTTTTTGTCCATTGTATTGTGTATGACCAACATTTTTTAAATTGTATTTAATTGTATTTTTTTTGTCTGACGTATCCTATACAATTCAATATTTGTCTTGGGAATTAATATATATTATTATTATTTCATTTTATCGCTTTAATTCTACAATGTATTTAGATCTGTGAGAAACATTTTCCCTACCTTGAAAGTAAATTACACCTCGAAGGAAACATTTGGTAAAAATTCAATTGTTTGATTGAGATGAGTCGCACCACTCGGTTATTTTAAAGTAGCGCAGTGAGGACCTCTTTTTGTGGTTGTGGAAGTGGGCTAGGATTAACCTCTCCCCAGCACCAAGTAGATGGCAAGTTCCTTCTGTTCGAATTGCTTGTGAAATAATGGCATGTAGTATAAATAAAATTAAAACCCTTTAATTATTAAAAGCGTAAACTGCTTTACAGCTAATAAATTTACAATCCACTTCAACTTTATACAGTTACAGGTTTTAGTCTCGCCGGTTAATTAATAATTTAATCAATTCAAATAGGATTACTTCCACCGCTTGCTTAATAATTTCGTTAACGATAAGCTTATTGAAATTTGACGCCGATCCGCAAGCTTGACAGAGATTGTTTTCAAACAGATGCAGCGTCGCAAATAAAACACTACAAGAGTCGCTTACGGCGAGGCTGGCTGAAATCGACGAGCTTAACCAGAGCGTAATAAAGCTGGAAAGTGCCCTGCAAATGTCCGAGCTTAGGCGAGATGATGAAAAACAAATTTGCAAGCAAACAGTGTCGTCGTTAACGAAGACTTTAGACGATGTACAGCGGGGGATGAACCGGCGGCTTGAGGAATTGCGAAGTGAGTACGATGAGAAAGTGGAGAAATTGGAACTGCACCATAAGAACGTCTTGGAGGAGCGCGATCGGGATGGTCGGCAAAAAATTCGCAATTTGGAGGATCGATTGGAGAGGGCAATTGTTGCGGTGAGTAGTGGGAGTTTTTGTATGCATACAATAGCAACAATTCGATTGCAAATTCAGTTAAATTCAACGAAAAGTCAAGTGAGAGTAGTTACTCCTTACTATCTTTTTCCGAAAGTGGTCACTTTAGTTTCGATGATTCGCGTAACGAAACGAAAAATAATATCGCCCTCCACCTTCGGTGTAGAAAATAAACTCATGCCGTTTTTAGACAACTGCTTTCAAAAGAATTATCGGTAGGTAATTTTGACGCACTTGTGCAATTACCTACGAAAATAATACTTTCTGCATTCTACATAAGATACGGCATTGAACATGTTTTTATTATATTTCCGCTTTCGGTACACTAAGTGACATATCCTCGATTGATTTTAGTTACACGTCTCCAATTTGACATGCAGCACATAATGCGCATCACGAAGCTGGATAATAACACATTAGCGTTACATTTCTGAATAAATTTCCTGAAGACTTGAATGCAGTTTGCGTCAAATCAGAATTCATGTACACGATTTCAGTTTTAGATTATACATCATTTGCCTTCCTGATGTCTGCTGCCAGATAATAAGTGATGCATGTGCTTGAAGGGTAATTATGACTACATTGATCAATTTTAACTCTTCACCCTCCGCGCTGCGCATAGACATATATAAATTAGTGTTCTAGACGTGTAGTCTATCAAATCCACTAACTTTTCACTGTGCTCTGACTCTCTGCATTGAGTTCTCGTCTCGTCCGATACGCATGTTGGAAATAACTACCAAACGCTCAAGTGTACCGTTTTCCATGTTCCAAGTGCAAATGAATTCCATCTAAGTTATGCGAACTAATTAAAATTCCGATTGTGAACGGTCTACTTTCCGGATTAGTGCCATCTTGACCTAACCCTTGCGTTGTAGCGATTGAATCTAATCTGAACTTCCCACTACTTCATCTATCTTCGTCGTATGAATATTGGATTTCCTTTTTCATGTTTTAAACTGAACAGTTGATGGATTATGTTTATTGTTACATTCGCAGTTTTCAATGCACATTCGGCGATAGATCTCTGAAGTTAACAGCTCGAACATTGGTTAATGCTTAATTCTTTTGAGCTTTTTTTGAGGTTCTCTGTTGTAACGTTCATAATAATTGAGTCTCAATATGGAAATTTTATCCAAAAATCTTTTCTTACCAACTAAACGTACTTGCTTTTTGAAAACGATGAAATTTAAACATGCAAGTACCATTTTCACGGTTAAGATACTTCTGTCGCTCAAAAATGCGAAGCAATTGCTAATTTCTTTCGTGATTCGTCGGTTCGATTGCTATATCACGAATCTCCTTTTTGTTTTATATATGCCGAATTCCCACTATTTGGGGCTCGATTTGGGGTTAATTGCCTCCTTTTTAATATAACGTGATGTAATTAAGTCCATCATCTTTTCTTAAGAAGTAATCTTATTGTAGATGAAATGAGTTCTTGGGAAATGGTATAAATGCCAGATATCTCGGCTCGAAAGGTTTCCGAAACCCATTAAACAACAAAGCCTCATAGAAATTAAACCACGCAGGAATAAATGCACGTCCCTTGCACTGCAGTTAATCAATTATTATTCTTTCAAATTCTAACAAAACCATTATCCACCTAGAAAATAATTTTGAATCTCTAAATTTTGACAACATATAAATTTCGATGAGACACAATAAATCACTCTAGATACTGTTAAAATTCTGAAAAATATCCAAATAGCTTCTGTATAAAGGAAAGATGTTATAAGTGTTCTTGAAAATCAAGTGCGTGTCTCAGAAAGGTAGATTGTATCCAAGTGGAGTTACGTATACCTTCCTTTCTATTCCAAACCTTTATATTAAATTATAAATTTGATGTCACTAAATATGCCATTTTACATACAATATTATATAGTTTAGTAATAGTTATAAAAGTCGGAAAATTAAAGTACTCGCCCAGAAAAATGTCCATGAACCTAGCAGAGCAAGGTCAGCAGAACACAATCAAACATATTGCATAATTAGGTGCTAATTAAGTGCCCTATTCCCGAATTAAATGCTCCTTTTTTTAAAAAATTATTACATGTTTTGCCAGGTTCATATGAACTCAGCAGAACACTACCTTTAAAACCCAAGAAAATGAAAAGTGAACTATCTATAATTAGGTGCTAATTAAGTGTCCTATTCCCGAATTTAATGCTCCTTTTTTTTAAATTATGACATGTTCTGCCAGGTTCATATAAAGTGAACGCTATGAGGAAATTACTTAGTGCAGGGGTTAAGAGCCAAAATATGTTTCAACCTTGCATTTTGTGATAACTTTATGAAACTTTCAGAGGATGTTCTAGACACCCTAAGGTTCAATTTCAGCTATGCCGCCACCCCCGCAACCCCGGACGGCACTTGCTATAGCGGGTTTCTTAAGCGCAAGGTAGCATTTCAATACCCGCCCATAAAATGGGTCAAAAATGTATGTCCAGGGTTTGTTTTGTATTTTCTTACATCTAGGAAGGTTGAAGGGAATTGTCAAATACCCAGGGAGAATTTATTTAGGGTATTTTACGTGGTTTGCCTATTTTTAAGGCGCTTTTAACAGTGCGGACTAGGGAATGCAATCCCGCAGCAAAATCTCAATCCCGGTATTTGCGGGATTGTTAGATGTTAATCCCGCGGGATCCCGGTATTTGCGGGATCTCGCAAAACTTTAAATAAATTGGCAAATAAGCAATTCTGTGCGGTTAACTTCTGTATTAAAATAAATCGCTAATTATCACAATATTTAACAAAAAAGTACCTTCGGCCTAACTTAGAACTCAAAAAAACCTTACCTGTAAAGCACAAAAAGTCTTCTAAAGTGCCTCAAAAATCATAGTACATTTTTAACGAAAAAAGTTTAACAATTATTTAAAAAATAATTCGCCGTTATCAGTTTCTTTAACAAAGTAAACAGAGTCGTCCCCTTGGTCGACAAATTCCTCAGTCCCGCAAATCCCGCGGGATCCCGCATTTATCCCGGGATTAATGCATGCGGGATCCCGGTATTTCTAGTCTATAACTTTTTATTGAGAAGTCTGATCGAAAAAGTACGAATTGTTTTGGATTCTACGCACCAAAATTAATAAGAAAAAGTGTTTTCCCGAGAAATTTTGGTGCAGTCGATTTTTGGTAAAAAAGGAAGGTTATACACTGCCTTTTTTTGAGCCCCGAAAAAAAAATTGTCTCAGATCGACCCGGAAAAAAATTTTCTTATAGAATGTGGCCTGTAGAATCCATAATTTCAAACAGTTCCAAGATTGGGCTACTAGTTCAAAAGTTACAGCCCTTTGAATTTTCTTTCGAAATTGGTTTCTAGTAGGGAATGCAATCCCGCAGCAAAATCTCAATCCCGGTATTTGCGGGATTGTTAGATGTTAATCCCGCGGGATCCCGGTATTTGCGGGATCTCGCAAAACTTTAAATAAATTGGCAAATAAGCAATTCTGTGCGGTTAACTTCTGTATTAAAATAAATCGCTAATTATCACAATATTTAAGAAAAAAGTACCTTCGGCCTAACTTAGAACTCAAAAAAACCTTACCTGTAAAGCACAAAAGGTCTTCTAAAGTGCCCCAAAAGGGTTTCGTACTTTAATATTTCCTCGCCAGGAATGTGTCATTTTCCTGACTTTTATATAAAGTCCTGGCGTGCAGCTTCCTTTAACATGGGCACTGGAGTGGACCCGACAACATCCTTCTTCCAGCCCCATTGAGCAGCATTTTTATCATGCCCAAGCGAAATCTGCATTTGTAAGTATGTTCTTGAAGCATGATGTACCTTAAATTGTCCAAATCGGATTTCGCATTAGCGCCAAAATGATTATTTCTCGTTTTGCTTTTGGGTCTTGAAACACATGAATAAGTTCCTTCACTGAGGGGTTCTCGAGAAGAATCTTATAATTTATATTATGACCTATTACTGGAAGATTTCAGAAAAAGTTGATCACGCCCCCATACCACTTTGTGCAATAAATGTCCCTAATCAATTACATGTATTTTCCTGCTCTCTGGTGCTGTGTCATTTGGTAGAGGATTGAAAAATGAATAAAAGATGGATTTCGTTCCATTGAACGAGGGTTTTAGGGCTGTGACTTAATTAAAAAAATTCAAAACTGGTGGTTCTTCATTCAAATGCAATCCAAGAAGCCTCATTAACTAAAGGAAACCAGATACTTAACCGAGATATCCATGGTTAAAAACAAAGAGCTCGAACTACGCCAACAGAGATGTACATTATGGGACTCCAACCAACCAACCAAATTAAAACTTGAAGACAAACACGATCAATATTTGTCTGGGAGAACATTCTAAAACCTTGACTTTCACAGTTTTAAAAATTCCTATTTCTGCTGGAAAATCGAAAGAATCATATCCAATTTAATGCACCCGCCTCGGCACCCGCTATAGTATCTCTTCTGTTTTTTATAACCAAGGAAACCTGATGAAAAACAACAACAAAAACGGGAGCTCTCCCAAAAAAAATTTAAGAACGTCTTAAAAAATAAAACTACTAAAAGAAAGTAAACATACTCAATCAAAAACCCCAAACCTACTTACTTAACAAACTTCCCACCTAAAAATAGCAAAATCAAAAAACTGTACTAATATTATCCTCCCCCATAAATTCATTCTAAAATCCTAATCAAACTTCCTAAAAACTGACTTATGCAACCCCTCACCTATTCCATAAAAAAAAAATAAGAAATAAATGATAAGTGACTTGACTTCATTTATCTTCATTAATAACATTCAATAAACTCCTTCTCATAAACTTCACTTAATTTCGTATAACTTGATTAAGTATAAACTGTACATATATCAATACATAACTTGTCTTCAGTAAACTAACTTCACTACATCTAGAAAACAAACTATTTACACGCTTCACTATTATTTCCTTCTTTTATCTTCCTTTCATTCTACGCCAGGAGCCATTTAAAGAATTATTGTCTGGAGTTGATAAGATCCCATCTTATC